TTATTCTGGGTTTGGGTTTAAGCTTCTATGGAATTACATTCTGTGAATTGTTTTTCCAAACTGTCAACATAAGCTTGTGTGAAAACTATGAATGGAAAATAGTTAGTGGCTCCTTCTTGGGATAATCTTAATAAATGGGCCGAGGAAACACGATTTATAATGTATTAACAGCTGAGACCTCTAAACCTTTCTCCTCTGGTTGGTTGTACTGTTGTTGTTACCTCGGAACGTGTTAGAATGTTTCCTCCTAAGTCCAAGTGGTGTTATACCAGAGAAGTCTGTGATAGCTACACAAAATAATGTCTTCTTGGCTGTTCAAATAAAGCTCTCAAAATCTTTTTTTTTAAAAGGGGGCAGTGATTTCAGAAGTTAAGATGAGGGTTGGGGAGGTGGGTCAGCAGGTCTGGTGACCTAGGGGACTCTTTGCCCATTCCCTTGGAAACCCTTACCACTTACCATACCACAAGCTTTAAGGTGCCAAGCCTGATGACCAGAGTTCAGTCTCTGGGCATCCACATGATGGAGAGAATCAACAGTACAAGTTATCCTCTCACCTCTTCTTGTGCCTTGTGGGACACACACAAGCAAATAAAAAATACAATAGAAATTTTTGAAGACGGCATGTCTGGCTGAAGAGATGGCTCAGTGGTTAAGAACATCTCTCCAGTGGCAACTCACAGCTGTCTGTAACTCCAGTCCCAGGGGACCCAAAGTCCTCTTCTGCCCTCCTCTTGTACTGCATGCACAGGGTACACAGACTTACACCCAGGTAAAGTAAAAGTGAAGGAGAAAAATTAAAAGATGAACATGCAGGGATGAAAAAGCAAGGGCATGAAGATAGCACACGGTGAGCCATGTGTTTCTGGCACATCACATGTAGTATAAACCATGCAGCCAAAGTAGATGTGGAAATGTACTAAGAGCCTCCTCCTGGTCATCTAGACCTAATGCTCTTTACTTCCAGCTTGGTTCATTCCAGGATCCAATGTCCTGGGTGAAGTGGGAAGTGCTCAATAGTTGCCTAACCAGGTTTTCTGTTTGTTTGATTGTTTGTTTGTTTGTGGTTTTTGTTTGTTTTTATGGCTTTTTGTTTGGATTTTTTTTTCCTGAGGTTATGATACAGTAGCAATGACTCGTTCTAGAAAATGACATTTCTGCTTCTTTGGCTACCAGAGTATCGTGTCTCAGAAGCCTGATAAAAATCACAATCACAAGGTTTCTAAGAAAGCTTTGCTTTTATAAGACAGACCCATTCTTTTCTGTTTCCCTCCTTGAAAGTGGACTGTGTTGAGCAGAGCCATAGCAGCCATGCTGGGCCTAAAGTCATGAAGCATCCTGAGCTTCGGGATCATTGTGGTGGTCCCCACTGCCTGCCTCTAGTTGTGTGTGTGTGTGTGTGTGTGTGTGTGTGAGAGAGAGAGAGAGAGAGAGAGAGTGTGTGTGAGAGAGAGAGAGAGAGAGAGAGAGAGTGTGTGTGTGTGAGAGAGAGAGTGTGTGTGTGAAAGTGTATGTACGTGTGAGTGTGTGTATGAGTGTGTTTGGTGTGTGTGAGTGTATGTGTGTGCATGTGTGTGTGAATGTGATATAAGAGAAAATTAAACCACCGTGTTCTTAAAAAAAAATACTCCTGAAAGAAAATTTTAATTTTTAAGCTTTATTTTTTCATGTGTATAGGTGTTCTGTTTGTATATATGTCTGTACATCGAATGCATGAAGTGCCCATGAAGGCCAGAAGAGGCCACTAGGTCTCCACAACTGGAGTTTCAGATAGTTATAAGGTGCAATGTGGGTGCCAGGACTCAAATTCTGGTCTTCTGGAAGGAGAGCCACAGCTCTGAACTAATGACCCATCTCTCCAGCCCCCAACTGCCATCCTCTTTAAACCCGGATAATGTTTGGCTTAGTTTTTCTATATCGTTTAATAACTATCTCTATTGTATAGACATAACTGACAAACAAATTACCACCAATTTCCAGAGAAGACCTTTAGTTATTAATCATAAGCACAAGGCATTAAACAAGATCCCTTTTGTGGAATAAAAATGTAAAACCCTGAGATGATGATGATGATGACGATGATGATGATGATGACATGTATGTGCACATGTTAATGCCTATGTGTGCATGTATGTCTGCCAGCATGTGGTAGCCAGGGGTGACTGACATCAGGACTCTTCTTCAATTGCTCTGCACCTTATTTTTTGATACAAGGTTTTCTGCATGAGTCTGAAGCTCACTCATTTGGCTATGCTGGCTAGCCAGTAAGCTCCAGGGATCCACCAGCCTTTGACTCCCCCTACATAAGTACTGAGTACCTCATGCCTGCATGTTAAGCTGACTGAGACATTTTCCCCAACTTCATCTGAAAGATTTTTTTTTAGATTTAACCATGCAATCAGACAGCACTCAGGAAAAGTAAGGCATGCTGACAGCATCAGAAAGAATTACTGTCACTCTGTTTTAGAAAGCTACGAGAAGTCCCTTCAGACTATGACACTTCCTTGGACTTTGGTCAATGGCCTCTCAGGTCCCTCGTGGTTAATAGTGATAATCTGCTGCTTTCCAACAAGCCACGTGTCACATAATAGTTGTGGACAAGTTCTGTAGGAAGGGAAGTGGGGGAAAGTGGAGAAATATTTAACTGATTCTTATTTAATTGGATTAGCCAGAAGATACAAACAGAAGCCTCCACACTGTGCCTATTGGGGAAGGAGAATTTGGCCTAGTTCATTGCTGTTGACCTTCTGTGAGCCTAGTTGGAAGGATTACTTGGATTACTCCCTGTCCCTCCAGAGCCAGGTCAGAACGCTCTGTGATGTTGGAGCATCCCCAGTGCGAACTGAAAGGGGGCGTTTTGACGTTGCAAATTGCACCACACTGCCTGAGAGTCCTATTTAATAGTGTTATGAACCTCTGATCCAAGTGAAGATTGACCGATTACCCAGAGCAATCCAATCTATAGCACACACACACACACACACACACACACATACACACTTGGGAAAACAAAGCTGAGAGTTGTTGTTACTTTCTTCCCTTTCAGATGCATCCTCTTAATCATCCTGCTAGACACAATCGTCTTGCTATGTACACAGCTACCAGGGCGCTGTAGACAGCTGTGTGTGATCCCCAAACCCTACCCAATCCACATCATACTTTCCTGCAACTCCAAGCTGGAGACTAATAGGTCTTAGGTATAAGAGAGTGCAGAAGCTAGGTGGGGAAAATCTTTTTTGGGAAGAAGGAGGGAGAGAGAGAGATCTGTTATGTGTGACTGACCACATCTTTGGCTCAGTCTTTCCCTGTTTTGTAGGATCCTGTAATTTTAACAGCACATTCGCAAGTGTAAGCCTGAAAACTACACTTCCCGGATGCCCTTGCAGCTTGAACCTGTCATGTGCTAGGGGTCTCACCAATCAGATACATTCAGTTATGAACGGTTTGTGGGTGAGCTCCAGTGGAAGAGGCTTTCAAGGTTCCAGGTACGAAAGAAGAAAAGTAACTTCTGCCCAGCACAGGATGTATAGCTGCTGTCAGGAGACTAGCAGACAAGTGGCAGTCTCACAAGGGTTACTCAACCATTGGCTCCTGGTGTGTCTGCAATGCCACTGTTAGGGAAAGCCTGGTCAGGGTCTGCAGGAGTGTTTTCTTTTTCCTATTGGAAGATGAGACCTTCCAAGTTTACAGTCCATTACTAGTTGTAGCTGATACAACTCCTCATCAAGTTCATTTGATTAATTTAAATGGTTGTGCGGTAGGGGTCAGGGGGAATGTATAACTGTATGAGTGCACCCTTGAGGCCAAAGGAAAATACTGAGTTCCCTGCTCTGCTGTGCTTTGCCTTGTTCCCTTGAGACAGGGTCTCTCACTGAACCTGGAGCTAGGATGGCAGTCAGCAAACTCTGGCAATCCTCCCGTCTCCTCATCTCATGGTGACGAGGTTATAGGAATGGGTACCCTCATGCCTGGCTTTTTATGTTGTACTGTGGACAGAACTCAGTTCTTTGTGCTTGTGCCACAAGCATCCTTACCCACAGAGCCATCTCCCCCCAGCCCTGTGATTGAATTCTTGAGGAACAGGCCGCCAGAGAACCCAAAGGCAGCAAGTAGGGGCGCAACAGCAGGCAAGACACAGAAAAGATGTTTCTTACAGCTCTTGGTTTGGATAACTTTTTGAATCAACAAGGTTTTAAAAGATACTAGAACACGTCACCTCTTTAATGTTTCTCTGATGAAACGGGAGCGAGAGAATTTTTTTTTTTAAGATTTCAGATGCGATTTTTTTTCCTAAACGAAGAAAGTCTGAACCATATGGCAACAAGTTTCAAAATCTGTTCATGTGCAAATGTCATGATAAAAATGGGGCTGGGTAGGGTGCATGGACAGCCAGGCCACATTCTTCGAAAACAGGAAATCTCCTGAATTCTTTATTTCTGTTTTAAGGCGAAGCTGAGTGGATCTGGCCTGGTGAAATCCTCCCCTTCCTCCTCCTCCTCCTCCTCTTCTTCCTCCTCCTCCTCTGCTTCTTCCTCCTCCTCCTCCTCTCCAAAACAAAAAAACAAAAACAAACAACAGTATTGTTTGCTTTAAATGCTGAAAGGAGGTTTAAGATGGAGTGACTCAGAAACGTGTGTTTGGATTCCAGTTCTGTCTACCTTGTGACCTTGGGAAAGTCACCTGACCTCTGTGAACCTTTGTCTCCTCATCTGTTAAAGCAGGGTATCATTTTCGGCTCATGGGAACATCCTGAAGAGTATATCAAGACATCAGCAACACAGGTGGTTGAGCAGGGTAAGGACTGAAGATGAAGGAATCCAGCCTCTATCTCCAGCCCAGCCCATCTGATGACATTACTCACCACAGCTCTTATTAAGTAGCCCTCAAAGGTGCCAGCCAGTGATTCCTCCTGCCCTAATCAGTGACCACAAAAGTCTATTGTCAAGGTGTTTTCTGACATACTATCTTTTCATTTGGAGTTGAAATAAGGAAGACAAGTTGCTCTTCAGACAGTGTGATTACCGAAGCTTTTTATTGTGAATGGTAGCAGATTGGAACCCTGAATCCAATCAACGAAAAGCCTAGCTGGAAAAAGCGTTCATTGGAAAGCTCTTTCTAGGTAGTGACTCACAAAAAAACAGGTTCAAACCAGAAGATGCTGCTCAAAAATCATGAGTTTAGTTGAAAGATATGCGAGAATAGTTAAGTAAATTGCACAAAAGAAAATCTTGTTGATGGTCCAGTAGAGTCGATGTTTGCAGAAGGCAGTCTCTGAAGGGTTTTGTCTTGCTCCTTGGAAGCCACCCTTGTCATTGTCCCTTCAGCTGGCAGTTTCTTCCTTCCTCTTGAGAACCTGGAGCAGAGAGTCTACCAACTTAAAGAAACATATTAGAAATAGTTACACACACATACAAGTAATGGGAGAAGGTAATGGTAACAGTAAACCCACTCCCTGCAGCCCAGAAGCATCACACAGCAGAAAGGTAAATTCCCCGGTCAACTCCCAAATCTTCCGACTTGGAAACTCTGGTGAGGAGCCCTGTGTTCTGCCTTCCCAGGAATTCTAGAAGATTCTAAACACAGTGTTAGAGAAACACTCATACTCCTGAGAGATAAAGTGACTGCTCCCATCATCTCAATACTGAGGGTCTTCATGCTGTCTGCTACACTTGTCTTCTGATCTAATTCCTTGGGTATGTTTTTGAAAGTTGAAGGTTTTATTTATCGTTGGAATAGAGCTGGGGAAGGAGACAAGGGAACTAGGCAATACCCCCTTGCACTACAACAGTCAAAGCTCATTTATGGATCATACACTGTAACTGAACCAGGAAATGACAGCAGGGTGGGCAACTTGAGGAGCACATCTGAGTCTCCACCCAAATTCTAAATTCATTGCTTCAAGCAAGTCATTTGCTTCCTGTGGCTTCTGCTCAATGTCACTGAGAATGAAGGGAAAAAAAAGAAACAGGTTTTTAAAACTTTATTCTCTCTCAGCAACTTTTCCCCAATGAGGTAAGAAACTAGATCTTATTATTTTTAACCCAGACAAGAGTTTATTACTCTTCCCAGGTTTCTCTGGCAATTTAGTTCCCCTGCTTCCGGACTGGTCACTTGTTTCTAATAAGGGAAGTAGTTCTATTCTTAGTCAAATGGTACCTACTCTGCAGCTCAGCTGTGTGCAGCAGATGCTAATGAGCCCTGGACTACGGATGGATTCCCACACAAGCCAATTAGCTTTGCCTTCCTCCCTCAGAACCAAGACTGCCACCACAAGACTGCCAGTCCTTAGATTTCCCCATCTCTCCTGCCAAATGGCCCAACAGCTATAAAAGAGAGGATGAGGGGGAACCCCATTCCATCCCACTACCTCAAAATATTGAGTTGAAAATTTTAGCTCAACTCAAGGAAGAGAAAGCCAAGTAAAAAGGGAAGGGGAGGGGGGAGAAAGCTGAGGATGGGGTCCAGCAGTCAGAGACGCTGTGGGGGGTCTCAGTCTTCCTGCACAGAGGTTATTGGAGTTACTGGAGGGTTATTAGTTATTCTTGATTTATGTTGCTTTCTATATGAAACTCCCACGGGAGCTGCTCTGGTTTCTTTTCTGTTACTGTGATAAACTATCCTGAGTGTTATGGCTAATCTCAGTTGTCAACTTGACCCACCTGGGGAGAAGACCCCTCAATTGAGGACTTGCCTTCATTAGAATGACCTGGGGCATGTGGAGAGGGTATTTTCTTGATTGCTAATTCATGTAGTGGGGCAGCCCTGGGCAAGTAGGCCTGGGCTGTGTGAGAAAAGTTGCTGAATATGAGTCTGGAAGCAAGCCAGTAAAGCTGTGCCCTTCCTCCATGGTCTCTTCATCAATTCCTGACTCCAGGTTCCTGCCTTGGTTTCCCCCAATGATGGACCATGACCTGTAAGTCAAATAAGACCGTTCATTTCCTTTTGGTCCTGGTATTTCTCAAAGCAACAAAAATCAAACTAATATACTGGGGGAAAAAACACCTTGGAGAGAAAAGGTTTATTTTAGCTCACAATCCCAGGTTGCAGTTCATCATGGGAAAGAAGTCAAGGTAGGAACTCAACTAGTCTCATCACAACCACAGCCAGAGCTAGAACAGAGAGAAACAAATGTCTGCTTGCTTGTGTTCAGTGTAATTTCTCCACTCACTGTTCAGGACCCCTTCCTAGGGGATGGTGGCACCCACAGTGGGCTGGGTCTTTCCACATCGATTAGCCTAATCAATATAATCACTCATAGACAGGCCCAGAGGCCAACCCATTGTAGACAATCCCTCGTTGAGACTCCTTTGCAGGTAATTCTAGGTTGTATCAAGTTGACAATTTAAAGCTAACCATCACAGAAAATGTTCAAATATAGATTCTATTTAGTTATTTGATCAGACTATAAGAAGGGTCCCTTTAAAATAAAGACAAATACTGCACATGTTTGTAATCTCAGCTCCATGAGAGGCTGATGGAAGATCACCAGTGCAGAACAGTACTGCCTGAACTGCATAGCAAGGAGAGAGAGAGAGAAAGAGAGAGAGAGAGAGAGAGAGAGAGAGAGAGAGAGAGAGAGAGAGAGGAAACTGCATACTCATTTCCTTCTAGAACAGCCTCTGGAAGTTCATCCCCAACCCCTTTGTTCATGACCACAAATAAAAAGAAAAGACAATGGTGGCAGAGCTATGGCCAGGATCTACAATAAACTCCTTTATCGACTCTCAGAACATCCCATAACCATGTCTGCGATTATGCATTAGGCCCTGGACCTGACCTGAGCCCTAATCCATGCTACAGAAACCATGGGATAGAAGCTCCTTTATTTTCAGATCCCATTAAAAGACTGGAGAAACGGGAATGGGTAAAAGAAAGATGAGCATTAACTTGAACAAGCCTGGCCATTCTTGCTGGCAAAGCTCTGGGGCTTGTCTGCTGTGATCCAGTAGTTGCAGCCAGTACACATTCCCACACACCACTCTGAATTAAGTAAATATCTTTGCCATCAAAACATAGGAAATGCTCAGCTTCTAACTACAGCTCTGGGCAAGTTGGCAAGGGGACTTGGTGTTTTACGACTGCAGTGAGTGAGGAGAACATGTGCAGAGAGTTTTTAATTTTAAGCAGAGTCCTTCAGCCCCTGAAACCTCCTGCAGCTAATTCTAGTGGTTCTCAGCGAGATTATTAAAGTTCTCTCCGACACCGGGAGATATATGGATTTCTAATAGGCCAGTTCTCTAGGCTCTCTTTCTCCTCTGAATAAGATCATTATAAGACAGTGTTAGTTTTCACAATGACAGAGTTTCACTTGGGGGAAATGTCCAAAGCAAGATAAACAGTAAACTGTCTCTGCCTTCCGTGAAGACTAGACTCACTTTTGCATTTGTTTTTCACAGTTCTGGAAAATGTATCCGAGAGACTAAGACCAACGCGTGCAATAGCTAATTATTCAACTTGAGGTGGAACGAAATGGAATGATGGGCTTTTAAACTTGGGGAAAGAAAAACAGCACATAAAAGGAAAGGAGAGATCAGAAAGTAAGGCCTGGCTAGATTTCATACACACACACACACCACGCCTTTTGTAGTGTTAAAAGTATTGTCCATTCTAAAGCAACCACTTTCCATGAGCCCCCTCAATCTATCCCATAATATTGCCACACAGAGACCACTGTGAAGCCACCCTTTCATAATCCCTCAAAGCTTTGAATATTTTGCTGAATATGGGTCATTTGGGGCCCTTGAGAAAGGACCTGAGTTTTTAAGAAGTTCAATGATTGACAGAGCCACGTTCAGGGGGTAAAGCAACTGCTGCTGGATACTGCTGCTTGCATAGGAAAAGGAAGCACTGCAGGAGCCTGAGAGATGGCCCAGCGGCTAAGAGCACTGACTTCTCTTCCAGAGGACCCATAGGGAGGCTCACAACCATCTGTAACTCCAGTTCCAGGGGATCCAACACCCTCTTCTGACCTACAGGAGCATCAGGCACACCAATGGTGTACAAGCATATAGACAGGCAAAACACCTAAAATATAAATATATCTTTCTTTAACTTCGAAATGTGAGCACTGAAGATGAATAACACAGTTGTATGTGTCCTTTTATGAATGTGCTACAGGAGCAAATGCAGTTTGATGCTTGTAGAACTTTATCTTTGAGGTTGCTAGGGTAGTGATTTTTTTTAATTCTTCAAATAAATGGGAACTACACAGTTATTAAATATACATTCCAGGAAAGCATTTGACCAAGAAAAAATGTGGCCAATTGGGGCTAAGAAGTCAATTACAAGTTCACAGTACCCTCAGAGCAAGCAGTCCTTTGTCAAAGAAGGAAGCTGACCACCTAACACCCCACAACCCGATTACAACCCAGAGCTTTGAGTTCCATTGGTACTGATTCCTTCATTGGCTTATTTGATCTAGAATTTTCTTCTGAATAAAAGCTACTGAAGGCTTTCTCTCTAGGACTTTTGTACAACAAAAGAGCTTTAACTTTGCATTTAACATCAAAAAATCCCCACAGGTATGGGGAAAGTCAAACAGACAGCATCCCTTCCAAAAGGCTAGTCCCAATCCTCTGTAATGGCCATCAAAGAGCTAACCACCATGGAAGAGTGAAGCAGGCAGGGTGGTGGTGGGGTGTCTCTGAGTTCGGTAAATGACAAGCAGTATTATCCATTTTCAGGAACAGAGCAAAGCAAGTCCACCTTCTCCATCCTGCATCCCAGGTGTTAAGATGACTGGGTACCATTCCCTGGATGAGGACCGACAAGGCAATACTGTCCCAGGCAGATGGAACTCAGGCTATTGTTTTGATATCATCAATGAAAAGTGGTATGATTCAGTTTCCTTGCCCTCAAAATGCAGGGGCTGGGCTCTACTGAGTAGTAGAGCATACTCTTAGCATGTACGCATCGCTGGGATCATTTCCAGCATCAAATAACAGAGGAACAGAGGCTCCCTCCTGACAGGGGGGTCACATGAGGTAACTTACTTATCCTACGAGGTGGATTACAGTGTATGGGTTTGGGCACACGAGTGAAGATTTCAGAGGGCATCCCCTGAGCTGAGCTATAGGCTGATGTAAGCTGCCTGATGTAGATGCTGAGAACCAAACTTGGGTCCTTCGCAAGAGCAGTATGAACTCTTAGTCACAAAGCCATCTCTCCAGCTCCACGTTATTATTTTTAAAGGAAGGTAATATTGACTTTGCCCCATGATTTCAAAGGCTTCTGTCCATCATGAGAGGGCATGGCAGAGCAAAGCAGTTCACCCCAGGGTGCCCAGGAAGTAGGAAGAACGGAAGTCGGAAGGCCTCTACCCTAGCATCATTATTTACCTTTTCCTTTTAGTGGACATGTGTTAAAAATTAGTGATGATCACCTCGCGTTCAGCTGCCTTGCTTCCCGTTAAATCCAGTCTCACTTATCTGCTGCCTTTGTGTCTGATCATTTGCATCTCTAGTATTCTTATATACCAATAAGTCAGTTGTCTTCAGATATACCCACTGACTTTTGAATACTGGAATGCAACTCGAATTATTCAATCTTGGAATCAATTAAAAAATGCAACTTTGTGTATATGTGTGTGTGTGTGTGTGTGTGTGTGTGTGTGTGTGTGTGTGCTCTCCTCTAAAAAGAAGACATCTATACACAGGTCTTTTCTTCCTCTAGTGCATATCAAAAATGCATACATCTGTAAGCCCACAAGAATTTATTCAAATAATATCTGTGGGCTCACTATCAAAATATCCCGATAAGAAGTCAGGCATGACGGCACACACCTATAACCTAAGCATTCAAGAAGCTTAGGTTAGGCAGGACAATCTCCAGTTAGAGGCCAGCAGGGGCTACACAACTTCTCATGAAGACCATAATCACTGCTTCGAATGGGTATAATAACTAATTAAATTCCTAAACTGAACTTTGGAACCTAGGTTTTAATACTAAGAGAAACAACTATTGTATCAAAAGAAGAGATAGCATGGAATAATAGTCTGCTTAGCATACATGGATGTTGGTCTAGTGTAACAACTGAATGTCTTCATGTCATGGTTAATTCACATTGTCAACTTTACTGGAACTACAGTCACTTAGGGGACACATCTCTGGGCCTGTCAGTAAGGCTATTTTCCAACGAGTTTAACAGGTAGATGACCCACCCTGAACTGAGTGGCACCACCTCTTGGGCTGAGGTCCTGGATGGACTGAAACAGGAAGAGAAAGCAAGAAGAGCACCAACATTTATCTCTCATAGGCACCACACATGGTCTTGCTATCACACTTTCCTCAGTGAGATGAACTGTACCTTCATTCTGTGAGCCACAATAGATCCACCTTTTCTTAAATTGCTTTTGGTCAGGTATTTTGTACAGCAATAGGAAGAAAGGTAACCAATATATGTAATACTCACTTGGTGCTCCCCTGATCAAGACCCCTGCCCCCTGAACTCTCCCTAAATACCTCCTACCCTTCATCTGAAGTGTGTTTGTTTCACCTTAGCATTTTGAACATCGTGAAAGTATCTGCCATCCTCGGGATCCCAAGTGGGCTGGAGACTGCCCAGAGGCTGATGCTGAGGTGGCTGGTGGCTTCTGTTCCCCGTGGCTTCTAGGAGGCCCAGCAAATTCCTCGCAGCTTCTTCCCAGTGGACATGTCCCCTCAGCTGCTCCTTCAGGCCATCTCTGTCAGCTGCATACAGGGACGGGGATTCATCTGTGCTCTTTTTCCCCATTAAGTGTCCTGTGAAAACAGAACAAACCCAGGATGCTACAAATCCAACTTGGGGGAACAGAAGAAGGAGCAACAGAAATGGACACCTGTGCAGTGGGCCCAGCTTCCCAGTGTATGCAGAGTAAACCACATTATTTTACTATTAAGAGTTAGTCTATACACAACACACAGACTGTACTATCTGTTCAAAAGGTGTAGTAAACTGAATCAAATTCAGATCTGTGTGTGACTCAGCAGCCCTGAGTTTTGCTACTAACCCCTACTAACTAGTAGAGTGACCTCAGACAAGTGCTGTAGCACCCCAGCCTTCAGTGTTATCAACTATGAAAGAAACAGGGCAGGACAAATCACATCTAAGAAAGCGTCCAAGTGTAAAGTCTTATCAATTCTGCATGTCCAACTGAAAGGCAGAATCCCAGCATCTCCCACCACCAATTTCAAGTTTCAGCTGAAAATAAAAGTCTTGATGTGTTTCTTTGTATGATTTTTTTTAATGTTGCCTCTCTCTTATCTGTAATACAATTGTACCAAAGGAATCTTTCATTTAAACTTTCTCTGAATTTTAGCTGAGATTGAATCTAGAAAACTTCACCTAGAAGCGATGGTAGGTTAAGAGTGTAATGAAAAACCAGTTGGAAAAAAGTTCTGACTAACATTCAACAGCCACATCAATTCGGGTGGTTCTTTTGGACCTTGAAGAAGCTCTAAGCACATGTGCCTGCCTTATAAATTAATTAGTTAATTCTATGAAGGAGGCCAAAGTACTAAAAACATGGATATTCATATATCTAATAACTGGGTGGCCAACCCCAGTTCTTCATTCTTTCTCTTTTTTTTAACTGTATGTGCAAGTGTAAGTATGTGCGTGTATGTGTGTATGCATGTATGTGTGCATGTGTATGCATGTGTGTGTGCATGTGTGTGTACATTGTATGCATGTGTGTGAATGTGTATGTATGTGTGTGAATGTGTATGTGTGTGTGTGCACCTGTGTGCACATGTGTGCATGTGTATGCATGTGTGTGTGCATGTGTGTGATGTCACAGTACATGTCAGTGCAGGTCATAGGGTAACTGTGAGAGTTGGTTTTCTTATTCTACCATGTGGGTTCCAAGATTTGAACTTAGCTCGTCCAGCTTGGTGGTAAGTGCAGACTCCAAGTCTACATATTTTTGGTTTGTTTGTTTTTGAGACTGGGTCTCACCATGTAGCCCCAGCTAGCCTCAAACTCACTGAGATCTGCCTCCCTCTGCCTACTGGGGTCTGAGATTAAAGGGGAGAACCACCACACCCAGCCAAGTTCCAGTTCTGAACACTTTCATCCTTCGAATGGACACACGTTATTTCTCTGCTCCCAGTTTCGCTGACACAGAGTTTTCTACTGTTAATAAGCCTTTGGTGCTTTTGAGTTAAAGCGTACAGACAAACAAAAATCTCATGGTTCCAGCACTAACTAGCATTGGACACAGTCAAGGGAAATGTTACAGGAATAAAACTTGAATGACTGTCTATGACTCGAAATGGAAAGAGAGCCTTTGCAGCAGTACTACCCATCCTCTTCAGAATGCTTCAGTGTGAACTCTTCCATTTGATTGACACCAGAGCAGAGTGGTGAACTGAGACTTGTTGAAGCCTCCTAGACATAAGCAAAGGTTCTACAATTATAACAAGGCTAGAGTCCAGTTTCCACTACATGATACTGTTTGGAGTGTCTTGTAAATTCCCAAAAGCGGTGGGACATCACTCTGGGATCTGGAAATAAAAACACGACTTACAAATACCTAATATTGTAAAGAGGAGCAAAGGGCCTTATATCAGGGTATCAGATATCATGTGACCGGAAAATAATTTAATTCTGTTAATATTAGGCAGTCTTCAAAGGAGATTTTGAGTGAGCAAGGATCACATATCAGTCGGTATTCCATAATATCATGTGGCTTGAAAAAGTAATTGTTAATAGCAGGCAGTCTTCAAGTGAGTTTTTGAGTGAGCTTGCCACTCAAGTTCCACTTAGAAGGGACTTCACACTGCTTGAAGACCTTGTTAAGGACACAGACCCAAATGAAGGATTAAAGTCTTACATTGTTTCTGTCACCTGCTGGGTCGACCTGGCATCCAGCTGTCCACTACACTGCCATGCATTTGGCACTCACCAGGATTATGTTGTACAACTTCCAAGGAAAGCTGATGTGTCATCAGCTTTAGTTACATGGAGGAAATTGAATCGTGATGGCTAGGAGACAGCATTGGAACCCTGATGCTCACAGTAATTACTTCAGTCACTCTTGGAATCTCTGATTCCCTGTCATCTAGTTAGGATGTTGAAAATGAGAAAGGATTCATTGCCAATAAAGCAGTGAGGTGATGGAGATGTTTTTATGAAGATCTTCATCTTGCTATGCTGAACTACATTTGTGCACTTTGCTCTAACGGCGAAATAAATCCACTGTGCATCTTATTATTGATCTAACGTAAATCCTGGTAACATTAGACTGAAGGCCAGTACTTGCCTGCTGGCAGCGTGCTGTTCAACTGGCCACTTCTCGGCACACATGCCCGATATTACAGGAAGTGCGCCATCTACAACATCCCAGGGAAACACACATTCCCTGGGTCCTAGTTCATTTTTGAGCTCGCTACTGTCAACCAAATGATCATCTCCATGGCAACATGGACAAGATACCCACTTCCACTTCATCTCCTATCATCATCTGTCACACATACGTATTAAAATAATGGGCATCTCAACATAGAGAAAGGACATTCATTTAAAAATAATAATAAAGCTTTGCTCTTAATGAAAAGAAGAAGCTTTTGTGCATCGTGTGATATTCCACTAAAGGGAAGGTGTGAAATGTAAATTAATTTCTACAGAGTAGAAGCTAGAAAAACTATACTAATCTGAGAAAATATCCACTAAGATATACAGTATTGTGTACTTCCAATAAATAGTATTTACAGGGCAGAGGAGATGGCCCAGTGGTTAAACCACTTGTCAATGCAAGTGTGTGGGTTAGAGTCCAGATCCTCAGAACCTATGTAAATGATGAATGGGCCTGGTGCTCTGCCAATAACTCCGGCTTCAGGAGGTATAAGCAAGCTGACTAGCCAGACTAGCCACATCTGTGAGCTCTGGATCTAATTGAGGGACCCTGCCTCAGTGGATAAAGGGAAGGAATAATCAAGGACAGACTAGGCACCCCACTCCCCAACACATACATGCAAACACACACCCCAGTGCATTACACTCCCCTCCCCACACACACACGGAAATGGAAGATGGAAAAAATAGTCTTTATAGGCACCCGCTGTAAATTTCAGTCTTTGATGTAGCCCTGCAATGAACGCCGATCTGCTCTGCATCCTGAGGTGTCACCCAATTCAGCTTTCCAAGTCCTGCTCCACATCAAAGTGAGAGCCACAACTAGGAGCCTTTTGGGGAAACACAGAGAACAGTTGCTAGTTTTTGTATTGACATCTATTTTCATGACACACACAAAACATTCCCATGAACACGATGCCCCACAGAAGAAGTGTGGGCAGTTTTCAGGCTATGGAGCCATTTTCCATTGCTTCTCTGAGCTGGAAAAAGTGGCTCTCTGAGAGAGCCGTACTGACAGTCTTCTTGTGGACGACTGCAGAGGCTTAGTTCTAGGGTGTAACAAAGTCAAGAGTGATGGCAAATGTCTGTGGTTCCAGCACAACAAAAACTTCATCAGGAGGATCACAAATTCAAAGCTAGCCTGAGCTACATCATCAGACCCTGTCTTCAAAAAGGCAAGGATTGGGTAACATAGCTCACAGAGCATTTGCTAGTATGAGTTCACTCCTAGCATCACCAAAATTCAAACAAAACAAAACCAGCCCTGGGCTGTATGCCTTTGGGAACTAGAGAGAATGGGCGTTGTTTTAGGATATTTTGAATTAAATTAAATCTAAATAAGTAAATTAAATTTAAATACAATTAAATCTCAGATTGTTCACCCTGGGTGATACACTTCTTTCAATAACACCTACCCAAACCATACTTGTGGGTTGTTGGTTTGTTTTTTTTTTTTAAACACAAGTGCAAGGCCTGAGTGGCCTGCATAGCAAGTTTGGAGGGCAGGCTGGACACCTTAGGCAATGGGGGCTGGGATTGTTGCTCAGTATAGAGGGCTTGCTTATGTACAAGCCCTGCATTACACACACACACACACACACACACACACACCCCACAGTCAACAATATTAAACTAAGAAGAGTGCATTGGAGATTAAATTTTGACGTGATGTTTGTGGTACCACTATGGAAGGTGATTAAGGGAAGTACCCTAAGTATTCCAGGACACCTGTACCCCATAACTACAGTGTGGCAGCTTTAGCTTGGCTTGAACCGCAGGTATGACACTAGGTTCCTACCCCCCTCTGTTGTGCTCTTGGTCTTCAAGGGTTGATTGACAGGTCATGAGCTCTTGTGTGAGGACAGAGAGGAGAGAGAAATGAAGGAGGCGGGAGTAGCAGGTCTTCCTCCCTGCCCACTGACTGCCAACTGATTCAGACAGCAGCCTTTTCATCTAGGCTCTGAGAATACCTTTCTTAAAAATTACCAGCTCTAACTCTGGGTTCTTCAACACCTTTTCTCTGCTTCTCCTGTGCCAGCCTGCCCTCTACTCTCTGTCCTGTCTCCTAGAATCCCAGTGCCCCTCAGAGGCCACAAGTTCTTTCATCCCTGGGACTTTTAGCAAGACCTCCCGAAACTACAGGATGTTAAGACAGTGCTTGGCCTCTCTGGGAAAACACAACATGGAAGTCCAGAGGCAGAGAGAGTTTCCAGCCTCATTCCTTCCCCTTGAATCTGAGACTTGGTTGAGTAATTTCCTTTCCAACACACTGTTCCCTGCTTCTAAATATCTGACTAAGGAAACACACACACACACATACACACACCTTCAAGCTTTTTAGGGAAAGCACTAGTTTTCCAGGAAATATGAGATAGTCACAACTGACTGCCTTTGCAAAAGACCTTGGACTCTGCGTTTCTTGGAGAGAATAATACCTAATACCTGGAGGTGATGGCGCTCCAGGTCATATTGGGAGGATAGATGAGTGCCAAGCTGCTACTTGCTACTGGCCTCCCTGTTCCAAGAAAGCTCTAAGCTTGTGTTCCTCAAAGCCCGGACTCAGTCCGGCTCCTCACCTTCTACCCACTGTGCAAGTCCTCTCCGTCTAGGCTGGAACCAAAAAGCCCAGAAGCCTGTGCCCAGAAAACAGAACTTGTTGACAGGAGTTAGAAAGAAGAGAGGGTTGAGGGTGATGCTGTGGATGTAAGAGACGGACAAAAGCCGGGGGAAGGGGGGGTTGGCATCAGGGCCCAGGTAAGCTTAGAGAGCAAACATGATCTCTGTAATCTCCCAAGGCCAGGAGTGAGGGTCGGGGAAGCCGCGTGAAGGCTAGGGAAAGAGCATTGGTGAATATCTGAACCCAAGGGGAGTGGGTGGGGAGCGCTGCACGTAGGTCCCCACACCCTGTGGTCTTGCTCGGTGCACCACTACAGTCTAGATTCCAGCCCACAAGGGTCCAGTCCATCAGGTTAGGCTACGATCCGAGATGTACTAGGGGACCTCGCTCCTCAAAGTTGTTTGGGAGCAGACCCAAGCCAGAGAAGGGACCGGCTAGGTGAACAATAGGAGGCAGTGGGCAGGTGCAGAGGGAAGGTGAGCAGCATCCGAGGCGTTTGGGATATCCCAGATGCCCCTCTGAAGAGGGATGCTCACAGGTGCTAAGCGAGAGGGACGGGATCTAGAGAGCTGTCTGCCATCAGCAAGGGATCTATCAGGTTTCCCAAAACAAGAGAAGGTGGGATGGAGTTTGGGGGAGATCTGGGTAAGTGTTTCAGTAGAAAGAAAGGAGCCGAGCCAAACTCCCAAGCAAAATGCTGAGAGGAGGAGAGATGGGGGCTCCCTCTAGATAGTTAGACCCTCTGAGGAGAAAAGCCCAGGGATCTCACGATAGGGACACTTACCCACAGCCCAGTGGCTGCCGCGCGGATACATCTTGGCCAGGACAGTGCCTCCACCTGCGCCTGTTGATACCGGGGCAGCTGGCCCCCGGGGTGCCTGGCAGAGGACCAGAGCCATCAGCAAGAGTGAGAGCTCGGAGCTGCGCATGGTCCTGGAGGGAAGCCCTCAGAGCTCGACTGGGCTGAGAGTGCCTTGTCCCGACGGAGCAGCTACAGGAGGAGGACGCTTCTCCGGAGCTCTGCCACTGCTGCTTCGAGCGCCACTGCTGCAGACTCCACGCGGCCCCGGACTTTATATAAAGGAAGCCTGAGCGGGAGGGGCCGGGGGCTCTTCCACTCGGGACCGGAGCGCACTGACGTCTCCCTATAGCTAGCCGTGCTCCCAGATGCCTGGCCGGGAAACCATCCATCTACAGCAAGTGATGAAAGGCTGAGTGTACCTTGACCCATCTCCCTTTCTCTCCTAGTCCCATCGGACTAATTTCTACCATCTTAGACGTCCTCTCCAACGAGATATCGTGAACCCCCACCACGCCCCCAGCTTTGCCCCTGGCAATCCCCAGCAGCAGCAGCAGCAGCCTCACTTGCTCTGCCAGATGCAGGATAACGCAGGAGGATGCACTGTTCTGCGTACAGAGCTAAAGCTAGTTGGATCAAACTCTGGCCCCTCTGGCGGACTTACTGGTTCCAAGAAACAGAAAAAAGAAAGAAAACAAAACAAACAAACAAAAAACACTCTCCCTTGAATTTCCCTCGCCAGAAATTAACTCAGTGTCCCTTAGCTACTTCACACATTCAAGGCTTCTGTAGAATTGTTCACTTTCCCTCTACCCCTTCTGTTCTCACTTCTTAAGACTGGTCACCCTCCCCGCGCAATTCCATCAATGTTAAGGGGACACGCACCATACCAATGTGACAATAAATAGAAGCCTGTAGGATGTTGTTGCCTACGGTTTGGCTGCCAGGCCGATCCTGTGGTTGTGCCTATAATAGGTGAGTGAGGCCTGTTTCTCACCAAGAGCTGGGGAACTGCCTCACTGTTCGGGGCTTGATGGGTCCCTGTGAACATGATGTTGATACAAGTCTTTGGTCTGAGTTCCTGGCAGGATACTACATTTGTGTCTCTCTTGAGTGATCACACACAACACATTGCACGGCAGTTTTCTTGGACTTGAAATGTATTTTTGTGCATGTGTCTGGCTCTAGGGAGAAAAATGCTGATTTTAAGATTGTTTTTAGTAGCCAAAGAAATACAGTAATGCTATCCCGAGGGAGTGATCCAAGGAAGAATCAAAAGGAAGAAGGAGGGATGGGGTGGTAGATACACACACACACACACACACAGAGAGAGAGAGAGAGAGAGACAGAGAGAGACAGAGAGAGACAGAGAGAGACAGAGAGAGACAGAGACAGAGAGAGACAGAGAGAGACAGAGACAGAGAGAGACAGAGAGACAGAGAGACAGAGAGAGAGATAGTGGAATCTGTAGTGAGACTCCACCTCTCCAAGGTTCCCAGCCTCTGCAGTCCATCCCCAAGCTGGGTGTGAGCTAGCCTTTGACCCTGAGCACACTTAGGCTGGCCTCCTCTCAAGCACCGTGCTTGTCAGGGGTCTGCTCTTACTTCTCTGAGACTCTTTAAAGCTCTGGATCACAGGCTGCTAGGTACACTTAGTGAGTGAAGGACTTGCCCAAGACTTGGTCAAGTCTGATGCCTTCTACACCTGCATTCAACCCTTTCCTCACCAGATTACACGCTAGAGGAATGTCCTTATTTTAGAACCTTGCTTGTGTTTTGAATGCTTGTTCCAGTGGCACTATCTGTGTTCAAGACTATGTAGCCGTTAAGAGCTAAGGCCTGGGTGGCTTTTGAAGGTCAGGACTGATACTGGGTGTGGCCCGTTTCCTCTTTACAGTTGTCGACAACAGGAGAACAGTCTTAACTCCTCATTCTCACCTCTGTGAACTCCAACATGCTTGGCCCTCATGCTGGACAGAGAGCATCTGAAAACACAAGTCCCAGCAAACCTTTTCCCCCTAAGCTGTTTCTGTTGAGCATGCTGGTCACAGTGACACAAAATTAGCCAACACAAACCTTGTAAATGATGTTTTCCTTACAACACTGAGGAAAAACCTTGGTGCACAGTCCAAACACTGGTGCATAAAAAGTCCAGCTCTTCTGTGACTGAGGACACCTTACTGTTCCAGTGTCTCTTGCATGACTGGAGACACGCAGGCCCCTCTTTCACCTCAGCTCTTACTCTGAATACCCCAGCCCACAGACCTTCTGCCACCGAAAGCAGAGCCATGTGGTTAGATTTGCATCCTGCTTAGGCAATGATGGTGTCACGACTGCATCTTGTTCAGCCCGAAAAGAAGGGACTCAGAAGATGTGAGTGGACACGGTGTCCTGCAGGTTCGAGAGATAGCTTAGTCTTCTCACCAGAAAGACAATGGCTTGTTGCCAGGTAGAAGCTGGAGCCATCGTACATCTGATTCAGATATATGAAAAAGCCTCAATAGATCTTGGCTATGTGGTTTCTTAGGTGTTTTTAAAAGTCATCCCATGGTCTGCCTTTTAGAAATAATTAACCTCACTGCAAAGCTAAACTCCTGTGAGAAAGCTCTCACCAGGCAACGGTCCATGTGAATTTGATGTTGTTTTGCTTTGGTTTGGCTCAGAGGTTCACAGATTTCTGCCCATCGAGGTAGGAAAAGCAGTTCATCCTATCCTAGTGGGCCGGAGAGCAGAGAGAAGGGGGAAACTGGCATTTAACTGACTTTTTCTACCACTCCACCCCCATTCTCTCTGGCACTGTCCTCAGGCACACTCACAGGTATAGACAGTGAAAATGAACTATCCTATCATATGGAAGAAAAAGGTCAACTGAACTAAACAGTATTTATTGCTATCATGACTTGTGTGCAAAGACTAGCTGTTAATCCCATCCCATTGCAAATAGATAACAAGTACTGATCACTGAACCATACATGAGGAGTACCGTCCCTGTCCACGGCCTGGGTTGCAGTTGCCAGTGGAGGAGGAGGGGGAAGCAAATGTGCCCACTTTCCTTCTATATCAGCTGAGGTGTAACTGGGCTCTTTTGTCCATGTCTCTTTGGTCAGTCAGCTACATGGTCACCAGCAACAGCAAGGGAGGCTGGAACTTGAAGTCTTGATAGTTATGCACCAGCCCCAATTGCATCACTACAGAGGGGCAGATGAAGTCCAAAAGGCAGCTAAGAACTTCTGTGTACTTAGAGAGCATTGCAAACTTTACTCTACAAATTACAACTGAATCCTACAGAGCCAGTCAGCAGGAGATTGTCCTGGAGAGACAGAGTGGAGTTTTAGCCTATATCCTCTCTGCTTCATAGTTCCTGTCCCTTGGTGGTTCTCCTGTTACCACATGGGCAACACCCCTTATGTCTAGGGCTGCTGTTGGCCACACGAGGGCACTTTCTATTAAATCCTGGCTCCATCCAGCAACATTTCATTTGATGTTGGTTGGTTTATTTGCTTGTTTCGGAAGTGCTGAAATGATTCATGGGAGAAAATTACAGAGCACCATAATTATCAAACCAATGAAGAGCACACGGTATCCTTTATTTTGGCCAGTGGCTGAGAGGGGCAAGCTCCTGCGAAAGACTCTTGGTACTAAAGTCCAAGGGGTACAGCATTTTGTAAAGGCAAAAACCCACAATGACATCAGTGTTAGATGAGGGTTTGAATAACCTTTCGACATTTGTTTTGACAGACATAGTAATTATTTTGGTCCCAATGTAACAACTTATTTTCACGTATGCCTTTATCAGATATTTTAGTTTATATAAACATTATTTATTTTGGTTAATACATCTGGACCATGGTCAGGGTCACGGAAAGTCCCAAGTGTGCTGCCAAGACAGACATGAATGTAGAGGGCTGAGAAATGTCTAAGCATGCCCCCAAGGCATGGTGCCTTGGGCTTGCTATTCCATGACTTTTGGTGTAGTAAGTCTCAGACATTTCTTCTCTGTGGTTATTGCTTTCTCTTATGAAGTTCACATTTGGATGAGCTTTTTATTGTGACAATATGGGGTCAGGGCAAGACAGCATCATCACCTTAATCACTTCAGTACTAAGGGTTGAACCTAGAGTCTTGCCTGTGCTAGTCAAATGCTCTATCACTGAACTATATCTTACCTTCCTTTTAAAAAAAATTTCTAAGATGGGCTGGCCTCAAACTCGTGTTCCTCCTTCCTCTGCCTCATGCACAGCTGAGATGAAAAACATGAGTCACCAGGCCTGGTATCTAATCTCTTGAACTTTAGCTATTTCCACAAATGTACTAATGCAAGAAACAGCACAGCCTTTAACAGCTTTCTTTGTTTCAGCAAAGCTGGGGTAAACGCTGCCAGTTTTGTGTGAGCCCCGTGGATTTGGATCTTGACTATGGTTTGGTTTAGGTGGCTGTGAGTATCACTTTGTTGTAATCATGAGTCTGAAAAGAGCCATGTCTCATGGCAGGGCAGAGGTAGAGCCAGCAGGGTCTACTGAAGACCACACACTGACATTTCCACCCTGTGTCACTGGGAGTCACATGCAAGTCATTTTGTGAGCCTCAGTCAAGGTATGAGGGCATCTGGGAGGCTCATCACGCAGAGAGGTCAAAGATGGGGGCTAATGCTTCATTGTACGGCAGTGCAGAGAAAGAAACACAGGTTAACACAGTAAGCACAATAAGCTGGCTAACGGACGTGTGTTTACTCACCTTGGAGCTTTCGTCACTTTAGAGGACATCTAGCATTATTGTTGGGGACATCTTAGCATCTCTGTGGGAGATGGCTAGGGCCACAACCGTGTACTAACCAGGTGACATTTTCCAGAGAATTTAACTGCTGTTTCCTGCACTAGGCTGCTACTCCCTAAAGCATGCAATATATATGTCTTTTTAGATACATAAGGTTTCAGGCCAGCTTGTGCCTTATAAAGTTCTCCTTCAAGAAAGCATATCTGGATAGCATGATTTGAAGGGAGAGTCCTCCAAATGTTTAGAAGATATCAGCTAAGTGGGTCCATTTGTGTGCTGGGAAGAAAGATCCACTTATGCTAGCTCAACAAAGTAGAATGTGATGCACTGGGGGACACATGGCGAAACCCCCAAACAGAGACTATGTCATTCATCTGGATATGAGGATGTGACTACATTAGCTCATGGCCTTGCACACATGCCATGTGAAGGGCTTCCCCCTCTCTATGACTATTCCATTCTCCTCAGACCGAGCTCCGT